CACTAACAATGAGCTACTAGGAGCACAAAGTCTTACATTGCTCAACGAACGTCAACCTTTGGATTTTCAGTCGTGAATCAAATACGTTTTCTGTTTTGTGAAATGTAAAATTTTAACTGCTAGTTGCTTGCTTGCATCTTTTCTTATATGCTTGATGCTTCTTGCTCCTTTTTATGCCTTTCATCTTTTTTCAAAAGCACCATCATGATGTAAAATGCATAGAACATTGCATTAGTACTTAGGCTGCATATATTAGGTTTAAGATGTTCCATTAGTCAGCCATTTGAAGATGCACATCTCGTTCTTAATTTAAATATTTCTGAAAAGTATGCCAAACTCATTTTTCATGAAACATAGTTTTATCTTGCATGTGTTTATCTATAAGAGAGGAGTAAAGCTTAGTGTTTTGGTGAAATGATGTTAAAGCCTTAGACCAGATCAGAAACTGGGCTAAAGTCAAAAAGACACGAAAGGAGCGCATTACCTGACAACTTTGATCTGTATAGTTTGTCTGCCAAATGGCACCTGTCTGTGAATTCAATAAAAATGACTAAACTAAGAGTCTGGCTCTTCTTTTCTTAAAGAATATATTACAGTAAAACAATTTGGTTATTTGTCTTATAACACAATTCAAATTGGAATTTTGTGAAAGAAAGCAACTTAATTTTCCATTTCCTGTCTTACTTTTTCATGAACCCCAACATTTTGCTTTACTGCATTATTGGATGTGTAGCTGCTTCTACACTTTTGTCTGCAAGTGTATTTGTTTTGTCTTAAAAACTGCATTCTGACCATTCAGCGCCACCTACTGGATATAATTTATTCTAATTCAAAGCTTCTGACTCTGGGAAACATTTGCAAAGTTTTTATATTACCTCAGCAACCATCTCTGTACATGAACTGTTATGGTCTGTGTTCTTAATTTCTTTTAATCCACAAGGGGATGCCACAGGGCTCTGTATTAGGCCCCATTCTATTTGTTCCTTTCTATTTATTCCCTCATACTGTGGAGTAATTGATTTAGGTCAGTAAATTAGAAAAATGTTTCCTTTAAATCAGAAAATACAACAAGCTGACATCAATTTCAAAGTGTAACAATAAAGAACACTGAATGCTTATAAAACCTCAAACTTATTACCATAGTACCTGACAATATAAAATATTATCCTCAAAATGTCTGCTTCCTGGCTCTTTTACTTGCAAAGTCATCAATGATGTCCTCGTGTGATAGCTGCTTGCCCATCTCATGGTTGATTCTGATTATTGGAAGACCTTTGAGGTAATTTTGTTCTGTGGATGGCCTGTGGTCGGTCCGGATGAGCTTCAATGCCACATTCAAAGACAGAGTGAAGGAAACTCTTGGGACAAAGTTCTTGTTCCCTCAAACGTTTTTTGTGGATGAAAATGAGGAGATCAAGAGAAGTCACGTTATCAAAAGTCAAACCTGGTGAGTTTTTGATCTGCATAGTGAGCTCCTTTCCATCAATCTCCCTTTCATCTTCAGTGTATAATGTCCTACAGAGGTTGTTAGCACATTTCCTAATCATCCACTTTTTGGAAATTGAGAAGCACTTCAAATCTGGAACTCAGATTTGGAGGATAGGAGTTTCAAACCTATCCTTTAAGAATTCAATGGCTGTTTCAAGGCATCTTCAACAGTCTCTTCTGGGATTTCAGAGGTAAAGTGCTTTTTTATGTTCCTTAGTACTTTCTTTTTCTGTACAGCCTCCACATTCATTTCCTTGTATATCTGTATCAAAGGCCTATTCTGAAGCAAAAGCCACTTCTTGTGTCAGAGATGTCTTTGCCCCCAGGAAGAAAGTCCAGGGTCACATCAAGGTGCATTTTGGTAGACTGCAGGATCTTTCTGAAATGGTCCACATGATTTAGAATCTCATAACATACAAAATCAGTGCAAATCAACATTGGAAGTACATCTGTGGGTTTCAATCTCAGCCTGCGGGTCATTTTTTCCCTGACCTGCAGGCTCCAACAATACTTCTCTTATATCGGAAACATTGTACGGCACAGACTCAGTGTTTTTAATATGACTGCTATTATTTGTCACTCAAGTCCTGAGAGCAACAGTCAGACATTCCCTTAGGATTGCTAATCTTTGTGGGCCTGCTGAAAAAAGGTTGCACTGTGTCTGTTCATTGCCAAACTAGTAGATAACAACAGTTGCAGCTTTTCAGTTTCAGCCACCACCAGATTTAGGGAATGCTGTTGTCTATCTTGGCCAGATTTCCTTTAAAAAAATCACAATAGGATGTTTCAGGTTTAATAAAAGTTTAATAAAATAAAAAAAAGTTTTGTAAAATGAAATTAAATCAGTTGTGAAGGTACATAACTGTAAAAATGTACTAAGGAAGAATATTTGGGTTTCTTTTTTCTCCATCTAACGGGTGTTGGATGGAGCATTTGCAGTAGTCAGTATGTTACCTACAGCAGAAAACTATCTGCTTGGAGAAAGTCAGGCTCATTGATATATATTATTAGATTGGATATCATGAGTCTAGTGTATGACACACATGCTAAGCATTGATTCAGGATCGTTTGTGGTCAGGAAAATAACATGCTACAAATAATAATTCAAAAGAAATAATAGCAAAAAGAAAAGCAGTGTTTTACTAGTTGTCAACACCAACAACAATAAAACATCGAAAGGTACCACTGATGAATGGTACCCTTAGTTTATCAACAGCATGCTGACCAACACTTACATACTCAATAAAACCTATATAAAATGGCAATGTTAGCTGAAATGGTAACTTTAGTGTGTGGGCTAGCAGTAGGATGATGAACTACAAGCATGTTGACCCTCTCGTTAGAATGTGTGGTCCTAAGACAATATCCCAATGAATTCTCTTCTCAGCTTAATATGTAGAGCTTGGACAAGAAACTTTTATTTTGAAATTTTCCATAAGTTGCATTTTAAAAGGCCACACAAAGCCAATGTGTTCACAGTGTTTGGATTATACCAGTCATGTAAAGGGCAAAGTAGCTGTAATGGAACAAAAATAAATGTTAAAGAGACCGAGGTGCCTGCCATGTTGTTCCATAATACTGTAATGAACTTCCTGTTCTGTTTGGTGGGGTTATGTTGTTGATTTGGTTTGGGGTTGACACACTTTTCTCTCTTGGCTGTCTGTCAGTCAGTTGCTACAATGTGTGTATGCGTATGAGAAGACCTGATGCAGAGACAAGAAAGATATGAGCAGTTTTGAATTGTTCTTCGCCGTGTTTCTGCATTATTTCCCCTTTGTTGTGGTGCAATGCAGCAGCCGTAACTTCTGAAATTTCAACAAGCGACCAGCTCTACCATAGACAGAAGCTCAGAGAGTGAGAGAATTAGTATTTGAATTTAACTTCACTTGCATTGTAGGAGTTCTTGAACATTATTAGAAGGTTACTGATGGGTAGCTGCAGTAACATAGAATTCTGTTTCCGTAAAGCAATGTTCTTGCTAAACCTCACCATTGATATTACCTTAACACAGGAAATTAGTGTCATTTTAAATACCAGAGTGAACCTTTTCCCAGCAAGACATTATCCAAAGGATTAGTTCCATAAGTAGGATAGAACAACCTCTTCCCTATATGAATAAGATATGTTCACACCCATTTGATCCACACATGACTTTTCATTTTTATTCTGCACCAAGGTTTCTTTCTTGCATTTGTATGACATTGACTTAAGCTTGAACTTGTTATCTAACATCACCAGCTTTCCACTTCTCTCATCAGATATATTAGCTCTGCAAAAAGAGCAGTTGAGATGTTGCACCCAAAAGTGGTGTGTACTGAATTAGCAGCTAAATTTGCACTGCAATAGAGGGATGGATTCTGCTAAGCTTGCAGCCATTTGTTTTGGATCATTTCAAATCTGAAGTAATCCATCCTTACAGTCTGCTGTGGGCTTATGCTGCTGGCCCTCCATCTGGTGATGCCCAAAGACTTGAGCTGCTGGTTCAACCACTGAGAAAGTCACAAAAAAAACAGAACCCTTAATACTACAGACAATCTATTACAAACTCCAACAAAAGAGCTGAACAATGTCATATTAGGCAATACAAAAGCAGTAATTGCTGCACAGTAATGATCTAATTAAATAAACAGTCATTGTACTTGATAGGTTAGTCACCTTCAAAGTGCTGACTTTGTTGGCATGGACTTTGCTGACCAAAGGAGGATTTTGTCTCCCAGCCCCATGTCAGTGCATCAGTTCAGCCGAATGTTGAAGAATCCCTGTTGATCTTAGAATTTAATCTCTTTCTTAGACGTCTCCACAATACATGTGTAACAGGGTTTAATTTAAAAACATTATAGATGTGAATTTTGTAAAAAAAAAAATATATATAATAATAATAACTTTATTTATGTTTTAAATTTATTTTATTTAGTCAACAAGTTGTTTCTTCAGACACTTATAGACCTTCCGGGTTTGAAAGCGGATGTGGGGTTGGACAACTTCCGGTGCCTATAGCGTTAGCATTAGAAGGCTAGGAAAATGGCTCAGTCTCGGCGCAGTTGTTTTTGTTCAGTCCCTGGTTGTTCATGTGGGGCAAGAAAACAGCCTTATCTGTCATATCAAGCGTTCCCGACGGACCCGGACCAACGGAAGCAGTGGATCCAGGCGATCCGAAGAGATGAAGGTCCCGACTTTTGCATAAAAACGGGGAGCACTTTCGTATGTAGCCGCCACTTCACACCGGAGGATTTTGTTAGCGAATCCACTACCAGCCGCCTTAAAGTGGAGCTGTTCCTTCCCTGTTTGCCTGGAATAACTTCACTGCACCGGCAATGAGAGAGTCTGCTTTCGAGAGGGCTAAGAAACGGCAGTTTGTCCTCTCAGAAAGCTAGCCAGGCTGAAGATGCTACTGCGGACCATGACTACACGACACATCCACCCGCAGGTAAAAGTTCCTGATGTACTCATTCAGGGTTGCAGTGGGCATGAAGGAGCAGCTCATTGCTGACATGTTTCAAGTCAGTATAGCTACTATCAGCCGAGTGACCATCACCTGGGCCAACTACCTCTTCATTGTGTTCTCTTCCATCATTTCCACAAGTACTTGTTGTGGCACCACATATTCCCCTGGTCATTATGTATGTTGTCTACATGTGATAAAAAATTTACATGTTTTGTTCTGTCAGGTTATCTCTTTATTTTGTTTATCACAAAATGATAAAAAACAGTTTTGTGTGTTTTACATGTCTTGCAGTTTCCTGATATGTTTTATGCTTTGATATTTCTCAATTTATGAGATTCTAAAGAGTTCAACAGCATGATGTGACATCCTTCTACCACAAACATATCACTAAAGGACGGCTAGGATTGGGTCCTGTTTAAGAAGAAGAAAAAAAGAAAGCAGGACGGCAGAAAGCAGCACAGACCAAACAAACTTGGCACCAAATATCACATGCTAACAATAAAGAATCAGTCACAACTAAAAAGTGAAGTGAAGCATCATGAATCTCACTCAGTTTCATTTGTCCTCTGATCTCTTCTTATGTCATCTTCCTCTCTTTTCTTCCAGAAGCCATCAAGGGAAAAGTAATAACACAGTGGATCCAAGCAGCAGTTCACAGTAGCGAGACATATCATGGGTGTGAGTTCAGACCCTTTAGTCCTCGTTAATGCAGTGATGGACAAAGGCAGGAAGCATATGCTAAACATGACCAAGTTCAGGGCAAAAATCACCATCACTTTCACCTTGCTGTTGACCTTTGCAGACTCACCGAGGTGATGACGCAGAGTCCAGAACACCATGACGGTGCATCCAACATTGACTGCCATCAAGATGAACTCCAACGTGGATTGAATGTAGATGGTTGATGAGGTTCCTTTTATATCAGAGTAAACAGATTCAAAACATGTTGAGTTTTTCATACTGTTCAAAAGTCTTGAGAAATGGATACCCTCCGGGATATTGAGCACCAACACGAAGAGCCAAACCACGACAGCTCCTTTCACGGCATTGGACAGGGTTCGTATGTGCCGTGTCCTCAGTGGATAAACCACAGCCAGCAGTCGGTCCACGCTGATGAAAGTGATGAAGATGGAACTGGAGCGGATGTTGTTGCGAAACAGCATCGTGACAAAGACACAGGTCAAGTTACTCAAAGGCCAACTCTCCGTGGCATAGAAGTAAACCCTCATAGGCAAAGTAATGGCAAGCATCAGGTCTGAAATTGCCAGGTTGATCATGAAAACTGCGTTGGGTGATCTGAGACCATGGTGGAAAAGCAGAATCCACAGTGACACGGCGTTGAGAGGCAGACCAAAAACCAGAATACAACCAAAAACCACAGCATAAAACACAGCCATGATTTCGCTGTTTACAGAAAAATGTCGCAATCAAGCCGTTGAAGGAGCAGTTCCTCTCCCTGCTTTTCATCTGTGAGAAATGAATTGAAAGTAGCAAATGACAGGAAATGTATATGACTAAGCTTGAGTTGTGGTCTCTCTGACGTACCCTAAACTTTCTGTGTTCTGTGTAGTAAGAGGAAGAGGGTAAGACTTATCTGAAATCTTTGGCAGCGGTTTCACGTTTTGGGTAGCAAATTACTTGCATGGAAATGTACTCGAAGAAGTTAAACAGAACTTTGAAAACAATTTATTTGTTTTTCACGGGTATTATTTCTTAAAGTAATTACAAACAATGCCTTCCCCTGTGATGTATAACATTTTCAAATTTAATCCAAAATTTGTGAAATAAATTTCAATTTTGTTTCTTTCAGGACTTGGTACTGCTGATTAAGTGCATTAATCTCATGTTTGGTTTTACATTATTTCACTGAAAGTTTGTTATCTCTGTGGCTAAAAAGAAGATTATGATGAGGATTTTTTTTATTTAAAATGGAAACAGTTGCTAATGAAGTAGGTTTTATTTATAGCAAAACTTTCCAGAAGTGTAAAAAGAATTTATCGTACTGTTGATACGCCCTCACTTATATCACCTTTCCGCTGATGAGTATTTGCATTACATTTCAAATATGGTGTGAAATACACCCCCTCAGGTGACTCGCCATCAAGCGACTCTGGACTCGTTTGACTCTGTTGCATATAGAATAGGATCCAAATAGTCCAAATTATCACAGATTTCTATGACATTAATACAGATTTAAATACATGAGGGTGCAAATATTTCACTTATATACTGTGTGTGTGTCCACTTTCTCTTTTTTACTAATGCAGGACATAAACTACAGAGAATTAAATAGTCAAATATTTGTAAATTAAAGAAAACATCCTTAATACTGCCTGCCAGATTGTCGAAACAGCATTTAGAAAGTTGCTCATTGCCTTCTTCAGGAATAGAAATAACTTTTATTTTCCTTGTAATTTTCTTTCCTCTTGATGCAGCTGCTTTGTGAAGTCCTTCTTGTTGCAAAGCATTCACAGAACTTGGTGGAGCCATCCCCATATTTCACAGATGGGGATGTTCTCAGGCTTGCAAACCTCCACATTTGACCTCCAAATTAAAGTTTCTCCTCAGCATTAATGATGTTTCTTGTGGTTAAAGAATTAGGCAATGTGTGAACAGCATACTGCTCATAGGATTTGATCGTGAATTAACAGGAAGTGCTTTCTCAAGGTCTTGTTTTTGTAGAAGTGTGCAATGTGGCAACACCGTCCCCTTTAGAAAACAACTTCAACCTTTGCGTGCACTCTGCTGAAGCCAGATCAAACCAGTCAGTGATATAAGCTGGGTTTATGTTTCTTATAGCCACAAAAACTCCGGTTGACTTAATTTTCTGCTTCTACATTTAAAGAGGAAGGTTCTGTCTTTGACCTATTATTTAACCATTTACTCTTTTTGGCAATATTTTGTTGATTATCACTTCTGTGATAATAATTTGGATATTTTTGGGAAAGGATAGTTCTTTAACTTACTTAATTTTTCATGTAATCCTGAAAGATTTTATCTGCATATTGGCAAAGAAAAGTAGATTGAGCACTAGATATTTTTCATAATCTGGAAGCTCTGCTAAATGATCCAAAGTATTTCTTCTAATTCACCTTCTTTTCCCTGAGTCCAGTCAAAATCCGAAACACGACAAAAAACCTCTTCACATTAAATCTTCAATGTGTCTGAAATAATTAATAGTTTTATGTTATGACAATTCAGTACTTTGTTCCCTGAAAATACTATGTCTGGGCTGTTTCAGAATTGCAGACAAAGCTTTCAGTTCTCAGTCTGCTGTTTTGGACTCTATTGATGATTTGTTGCTGTTTTTTTTTTTTAAGATATTCTGGTTAACTTGCTGTTTTATTTCCTGTTTATTATATTTTCTGGTCCTTTTTTTATTTTCACTTATCAGTTTTCCCACATAGCTGGTCCTACTGTTTGTAACTCGATTAGAGACAAACTTTGTAGTTAAATGAAAAGTATTTATATCCAAAAGTTTAAATAATTACTGTCTTAAGTGTAAAAAATGTATCAGACCTAAGAGGGAGCTTTGTTGAACTCTCTCTCAACTACATTTAGATACAGAGCTTAGAATAGAAAAGAAAACTAAAGTATAATTTGAACCACCTGAAGACTGTTCTGCAGATACTGTTGTGAATCTATTAAGTAATATTTTGTGATTGACTGTCAAAAGCTGCATGTAGGTCAGTAGTTGTAAAAAGCTGGTAGAAACACAAAAGATTCATAGCTGTATTTCCATACTTCATACTTTCCAGATATTTATTTGTGAAAAAAGCAAACAAATTATCACTTTAAAGAGGTAATTAAGTACTTTAGCAACCATTTGTATTTATTTATTGTTGTGTTTGTCTCTGTAAATTGTGTAATAAAAAAAAGGAAAATTACAGTCCAAATCTTTGTGGACTGTGTGAAAGAAGACACGGCCTCTCATTGCCTGTAACTGAAGCTTTCCAAAAAAAGCCATTACAAAGCAAAAATATCCAATTACATAACCAAATTGATGCTCCTTTATGCTGAACAGTCTATTTTGCACATACACTAAAACTAAAGTGACAGGGAGGTGCAACCCATTTCATGTGGTATATAATAAGTTGCAGAACGATGAGATCCTTTTGAATCCTGCATGCAGGAGGTCGAGCTCAGTTTGAATATTTGAATGCGATCAAAGATGCTTTTCTCTCCGGCCTGCGGTTTTGTCCTTTTGTTTCTTCTGAATATTGTAGATTCTGGTGAGTAAATGTGGTTTAGGGCACAACTGAATTTTTTTGATCATAAAAATAAAATTTTTTGTTGCCTCAGGTTTAACACCCAGAACTATTGGGTTAGCTCCCACACACAGCTCAGGTTTGTTATTTGGTGGATTATCTAATTTTCAGTCTTTGTTTTTTTCACTTTTTTATTGGCAGGACGCATCCTATCAGAGATTAATCAACGTTTCCGTGATCTCCAGGCTCGGAAACACAAAGAGTTTTTTCTGTCGCTCCTTGCGAGTAAAAGTAAACCTCTTCAACATGTGAAGGAGGGCTGGATTCACCAACCGCTGGATCACTTCAATCGACAAAATGTCAAGACCTTTACTCAGGTAACTTAAGTATTTGTTGACTCTTCCATTTTTGATCCATATTTTTTGTACAAATATAAAAAAAACAACTTATTTTTATACATTTTTATGCATTTTTAATCATTTTTATCCAAGAAACATTTTTGCTTAACTTATAAAGTTAGTAGTTTTGTGGACATTGCCCTCACATATGGTTTTTTAAAATTACTTAACAGGAAATAGTGAAAAACTTTTCTAAGTATTTCCTGTAAAGTAATAAGGAGTTACACCTCAGTATTATGTGAGATATGGACGTCTGAATGGTTAACTTTTCAAGGCTTGTCAAACAGGGAGCTATGATAACTGCGTCCTGAAAATATTCCTTATGGCACAGCAATGTTTCATATGTACAAATATTAATGCAATGATCAGAGTGAGCACTCACAGCTGTCACTTTTCTTCTGAAAAAGTTTCTACTTGAGATATTTCATTTCCTCACATTGTGCCTTTTAATCTGGAATGAAGCTCACTGAGAAATTTGTTGCTGAATTAAATGAATACAAATGGAGTCTCAGGAGCACCATTGCTTGAATAATTATAGAATTCAAGTGACTGAATATACAGTGCAGAGGAACTTTCCAAAGTGAAGCATTTGGAAAAGCTTCACTTTTTCCAAATGTTGATATGTTACAACTTTTTTCCACATGACATTAAATTAACCTTTTACCTCAAAATTGCTTGCTCAGCTGACAGTTCAGTAAGTGACATGAACGTGTGTTTATTTGCATGTTAAGTTCATAACTGTGATTTGATTGCTCAGGACAGATTGAACTGCCAGGTGTGAATCGATCTGCTAAGTGAGATTTATTTTTAGTCAGCCAGATCACAGGATCTCTCTCACACAGAATGCTGCATCCAAGCAAGAGCTACAAATTTGGACTTTTGTAGTTGAAATAAATTCTAAATGTGCTTCTGTTTTAAGTATTATTGCATATTTTTTACTTTGTTTATTTCCGCCTGCTTGTGTCTATCTGGGTGGCAGAGATTCTTTGTAAACGAGGCGTACTGGCAGCGGCCCGATGGTCCAGTGTTTCTCTTCATTGGTGGAGAAGGTCCCATCTATAACTTTGATGTTCTTGCAGGTACCGTATGACACACAAGTCTTTATCTGTTAATGTAACACTCTGTGCTCACTTTACAAGCGAACAAGTGTATTTTTGACAAACGGATGTAAGTAAAAGACCTGTGATGTCAGAAAAGATACTGAGAGCCTGAACCAAGTTTGTACAGTGGTAAATTTGTGCTAAATTTACCACTAAACTTACCACAAATGGGCTAAACAGCACCAGGAAGTGAAAAAGGCAAGACAAAAATTCAATCATATACTAATAATTTGATCTTTAATCTTTTTGACTTTGAAAAATTATGTTAAACCAGAAATGTAACATTCACCTTTATGACTTCTACATGTAGCTTTTGCACAATATTATATTGAAATATCAATCTTATTAAAGGACAGGGATAGATCAACTTGTTTTAAAACTCAAAATGAACCAAACATAATTCTTGCACAACCATTATTTTCATTTTAACTAATTGAAATAGTGATAGAAACAAAACTACATATTGAGAATAGTTACATATTGAAACTCATTTTAGATTTTAAATCTTCAACTTTACTGTAATCTCTTATGTTCAGCTTAACATAGTAATATTCAAGCATGATACTTTCTATTTCTTTGTCGTAGACAGGAAATTCATTGAGGGATGCAATTTTAAAAATAATTTGTGCAGCGTAAAGTTAGCTCATTTATACATTTGTTCTTTAAAAAAAGAATCCTATTTGTAAAATATCTCATTTTTATTTCAATGTTTAATTCGGCTTCTTGAATAAATGAGCAGATTTGGGTGAAACTGCTGAAACATAGCTGGATAAAAATGTCAAAACATTGTTTTAAACTAGACTTTAA